GGCCCCACAGAAAAAAGCCCAAGCTGCATATTTGTGTGACATTGGCGTCAAGGGGTTAAAGTTAGCTTTTTCTTACTAAATATCACTTTTGCTATAGTCCATTGTACAGTCACTGTTTGTCACTTCACATGCAGGTTTAGGGCATCCCCCAAGCATGCTATTTAAAGGAATTATATATAGTATTTTTAACCCCTTAACGCCAGCGCCTCCCGGCCCTTTAAGGGGTTTCTGATACTGGGAGGTAGGGCGGGGTTTATGATCATGTGACTGCCGTGATTGGCTGTCACAATGGTCACATGATCAGAAAGCTCCCCATCACTACTGGCTTTCCGTGAAGGGCGCGCATTCACAGCACAGGTTTATTTACATTTTGGTATGCAAATATGTGGCCTCTCAGCCTTAAGGCCCACCAACCAGGAGATTGCATATTTGCATACTCTCAGCACAATATAAGGTAAGGGCGGCACTTCTTTCGTTCTGGAAGGACGCCATATGCGTCCTCCCACTCTAACTGCACCGCGGCGCTGTGATCGGCAGTGCGCTGTGTCCCTGGGACACAGGGGATCACCGATCACTGTAAACATTGGCTCTGTCATGTAATCAGTTGTGTCCAATCACAGCTGATCACATGTAAATAGGAAATGCCAGTAATCGGCAGTCCTCTCCTCCCGCTGACAGCTCGTGAGGTGCGGAGAGTCGGCAATCAGCATTACTCAGAGCGGACATCTACACTGATCATCAGGGCACTGATGATCAGTGCCCTGATGATCAGTGTAGCCCCATCATTGTCACCTGTCAGTGCCCATCAATGTCACCTGTAAGTGCCCATCAATGCCACATACCAGTGCCCATCAATGCCACATATCAGTGCCTACCAGTGCACATCAATGCCACATATCAGTGCCCATCAGAGCTACCTGTCAGTGCAGCCTATCAGTGCCAGTCAGTGCCACCTATTAGTGCCAGTCAGTGTCGCCCATCAGTGCCGCCAATCAGTGCCAGTCAATTCCACCTTTTAGTGCCAGGCAGTGCCCATCAGTGCCGCCTAGCAGTGTCATATATGAGTGCTGCCTTTCAGTGCCCATCAGGGATGCCTGTCAATGCCCACAAGTGATGCCTGTCCATGCCCATCAGTGCCACCTATCAGTTGAACTGTATTTTTTTTTAATCTTCAAATAGGTAAATGTCCCACAGGGCAGTACCCAGCTCCCTATGCCATTTTTCCCAACACCTTTCAGCCCCAATGGTCTGGGAACAGGTGCACTTTAAGGACAAGTTTGCATTACCGACTACATAGACTGGTCACAGATTGTTTGAATATCATGATAACCACATATGCCCAGGAGAAATGTGCTAACATTTTAATAGATGAACAGTAAGAGTGGGCTTTTGATGACTCTTAGTGACTATACATACTATAGTCACAGCTTGTGATGTTGCCCTACAATGGTTACATTTGTTTTTAGGTTGATTATAGCTAATTTAGCTAGGATTTAGGAGTCAAGGAGCAGTACTGCCTATGCTTTTATGATAATGGCAGTGGGTGCTTAAAGTGTATTTAAAGAATATGAGGATTGTTACCGCTCCATTTTATATTTGCAGTAATCTAATAAAAAGAGAACATTTTAATAGCTGGCAATGTGCCTGTTTCTTCTTTTGTTTTCTGTATGTATTTGCACACAGGACAGCAGTTGCTTGCAGAAGAAAGCAGATTGTACCATCAGTTTAGAAAAGGGTTCTTTACAGAGGGGGTTAAATAGGAATAGATAAAACATGAGGTTTCAACTGAAAAATTAGTTATATAGTTTTAAAAAGTACTGTCTGATTTTATTACAACCTCTGAGATCCATATTTACAAATTCAGAAGTTTAGTTTGGAACATTTTAATCCAGTAAATTGATCTGACTGTCTTTGTGAGGTCAGGAAAGACTTATAACCGCTTGTAGGCAAAATAGTTAATTACATAGTTAATTGGACAGCTTTTTTAATTCAGGTGGCAAATGCGCATAGGGTGACCCATTCAACTGCATGGGCTGTCCTATGCAAAATGCACAATTACGTGAAAATTGCATAGTGGGAATGGCTACAGCATTGCTCCTGTTTCTTTTCTTGGAGGCTGCCATTTTGTTGAAGCCCAGAGCAGTCACTTTCTTATTGGAAAGCAATTCTCCCCTTCTCCTTGGTCTCAAAAACTATATGTCATGTTTTTCAATTAAAATGTGTACATATCCAGCATTGATTGTATGTCTTGGCTCATTTAGAGAGGAAGACTTACAGAAGCTTTACAGTGCTGAAGTTCACAGGTTGCAAATGAGGGAGAAATTAGAGAATATTAGGGGGATAAGACACAATCTTTGTAAGGCTAACTTTTTTGTATCTCCCTGGCAGCAGAGTTTGTCCTGTCACCTTTGCTTTTCTTTTCTCCCTCCATAATCTTTGTTCCCTCACTTAGTCATTCCTGTTGCTTTCTTCCCCCTTCAGCAGCAGTAAACCTTACAGCCGAGCAACTGATTGGCTTCTAGTGGCTCTAATTTTAGGCATGGTGCTGAGAAGTGAGAGCAACTGAGCATGTGCAGAGCAGGGCAAAACAGTGCAGGATTTTAAACAGCATAGGCACTTTTTTTTTTGTATTTCAATGATTTTGATTAACTTTTTTTAAACAATTTAACAAAGAAAAATCAGAGCAAAAGACACACCTAAGGGCTATCAGTGGCACATAAAAAATAAAGAGAACACTGCTGTTACATCAACAATGTAAAAGGCACGCCCATATAGGGGCCATTAAAGGCACATAAAATACAAAAACAGTAATATAACACCAACAATATACCAGCCAAAGGCAAGTATCTACAGCCTCACAGATTCAAACAGTGAATAATGAGGAAAAAAAAGTAAAGAAGGAAGAAGAAAACAAGACCAGAAGCAGGAATCTGGGAACACCAGTACAGTACAGCATCATGAACCCAGACTATCCGGGGGCAGTGTAGGAAAAGTATATGCCAACCATGGCTCCCATATTTTCAAGAATTTCCGTTGGGAGTCATTACGGATACTTGACATCTGTTCATTGAGCATCAGAGTAGTCATACGGTCCCGCAACCCCCTAAACAAGGACAGACGGGCTTTTCCAGGCCTGAGCAATTGTTCTAGTGGCCGACAAAAACAAATAGGAAGCCAACTTCTGCTGATGGGCCAAGGCACTTATTTTTAATGTTTTCTATAGCTATACCTGCAAAAGAGACCAGCCTGAAGTGATCAATCAGGACTTAATTTTCTGACTAAAGTTCCACTTTTAGAAAAATTCTTGGATATTTATTATATTGGATGATCACTGTGATTGTTTTACTATATAGGACGCTGAAAATATATTGGTAATAATGCAGAGTCCCACATTAGGTATCTTTAACCATAGTTAATACGTAGATTTGCTAACCTAATAAAGATTCATTATTGTGAATATTTGATGGGATATGACATTTCTGCTAGGATAAATATTACAATACATTTCTTACACAGGAGATGCTATTGAGAGGGACCCATAGGTTTTGTACAGTTATTACATTTGGACTATATCCTTTTGAACAGTATGGTGTTGAGTATTTAGCATTTTTTATGTAAGCCAGAGTTTCCTTTGAAGCATTCATTTTAATATACTTGGATGACTTGATTGCGCCACGCATCTAATTAATTAAGATCATTTTGTACATGCATAACAGCAGAAATATTGTCAAAATATCCTCAGTTGTGAGCATAGATGGGAACTGTGTAATTGAAAGAGTGGCCCTTCTAATCATGGTTCAGAACGCTTTCATATTCATCTTGTGTGTAATAAATGGTCACAGACAACAATGCGTATGTCAGATGGCAAAATAACAGGAATTCATCCACTGTGTGCTTTGCTTTGAAGTAGAGTGCTCTGTGTGGCATCTGTTTCAAGAGATCCTTTCTGCCTGTCCATTAAACCTTGTGTTTTGTTCTATTCTATTTACTGTCACTAAATAGAGACTTGTTAGATTTCGTCAAAACTGACCATTAGCAATAAAACGTAAAAGGTGGTAATTTCCTAGCTTGTGAAGTGGTAAATATCAGGTTATACAGGATATCATGAATATGTTTGGGTATGGTCTCCTGACAGCAGAAAATCTGTCAGCAATTTATTTACACTGCTGTAATATTCGCTTTTCTTACTTTTTGTATTTAAACCCTCGCTGTATTTTATCACAGGTTGATGTAGCACAGACCCCTGACCGGGCTATCTGTTTGAATCTAGTGCAGTTTCCTGATAGGTACATGACCAGTGGTGTATTTAGGTTTTGTGCTGCCCCAGGCAACACTAAAATTGGCTCCACTCCCCGCAGAAAGAGCCTGACATTGACCAAAAACACCCCTGCCCTCCACCTGACCCTTCCACTACCACTGCCCCCCTTACACCAGCCACTATCCCCCACGGCGAGAGAGAGAGAGAGAGAGAGAGAGAGAGAGAGAGAGAGACACTCATCTTCACAGCTCTCGATATCCCCAGGAACGAGACTCGGGCTGTGTATACACCGTCATGAATCCCACAGCATCTCTCGGAACCCACCAGGTCTCCATGCCCCCCCCCCCCCTGAAAAATGCCACCCTAGGCAAATGCCTTGTTTGCCTTGTGGTTAATACACCCCTGCACATGACAGCCAGGTGCACAGTAGTTCATAGCCACTTAAGTCAGAAAACCGAATGTGCGTGTCTTTTTGCAGTTTATTTGCTGGTCTAACTTGGATGGAGTGAGGGTGAGCCTTGGGATGCTCCAAAAGAAACTAGAAGAAATGCAAAAGAGGACACTAAAGCTGATCTGCTCCTTCAGGGTGTAACCACCATCTTGAATGAGAAGGTTAAATGAACTTCAGTGCATAAAGAGGAGTATAGCCCTGAGTCAAAATGGACTCTCCCAAAGGCAGCAAGCATCGTCTCTACGATCCTTAACCTCCCTGGCGGTATTCCCGAGTGTAGCTCGGGGTAAAATGTCAGTGCCAAAAAAGGTAACCCCGAGCTACACTCGGGCTTACCATGGGCCATGCGGCGCTGCATAGGGAGTCCCTGCAGAGCTTACCTTGTCCTGCGCTCCCCCGATGTGTCCCCTGCAGCGTTCCCGGCCATCTCCTACGGCCGATGCTGGCATCCGGCTTCTGTGTTCCGGTCCCTGTGACGTCGGGACATACGGGCGGAGGCGGCGGCGGGAAATTTGAAAATGTAAAAAAATGTAATTTTTTTCAAAACAAATTTTTCATAGTAAAACATTGCTGTTTCAACCCATTTCACATACATATTGTCCCTAGTGCTTTGTCCTGCGCCCTGCCTGCATTTTGTCTGTTCTTTCTGCCTGGAAACTGAGAAACGTCCATGGCGTCCAAAAAGTGTCCCTTTAGGTCAAAAGCGGGTTTAGATCAGCTAGAGAACAGCGATAGTAAATCAGAAGCACTTGCAGAATTGAGTGATAATGATTCGTGGGGAAATTCGTCATCAGACACTGAAAACGATTTTGCGACTTTGCTCAGCAATGTACGAACTTGGTGCTCTATTTCAAATTTCAGTGTTTTCGGTTTGATTATATTATTGAATTAAATGTATTATTATTATATTATTATTTTTTATGATTATTTATTAAATTATAATTTATGATTTCGTGTTTCAAATTTTATCATACCCGGGATGTTTACTAGACTCTTGTTCGGACAGATTTCAGTGAGTTATTCCTAAAAATTACAGCCTACAATAAAAAAACTACATATTTCCATGCAAAATAATGGTACCGCTTTCAGCACCAAAAATCTGAAATAATCATACCGCTAGGGAGGTTAAAGTGCTTGTAAATATATAGCAAACCTTTTCTTCAAACTACTAAATCCCCTTTCATAAATACAAAATAACCTAAATCAATTCAAAATAGTCCACCACAAGTCCACACTATTATTGAGTCTTCAAGCGTTGAAAATTGTCCCATTCATCACTTCAAATCCAAGAAACCTAAAAAAAAGTAAATTAAATATAGTGCATTAACTTTTAACAACAATCAAATATTGTGATACCATGCAAGAAAACACTCGTGAAAGGAAAAAGGAAGAGAAAAAAAAAATAATAAATAAATATATATATATAAATAAATCACTACTTAAAGTGAATCTCATGTGTAAAATTACTAAAATAAGTAAATAAAGTGAATACACCTGCACAGCCCACTCGTGGGGTGGAATCCACAGCAAATAACTAGGCTTGTGAAATATGTGCAAAAAGTGCCAACACTCTAGAAAATAAATACACAGCAAATGCTTAACTTGTGAATTTATACTAATCCACAATCCACATGGGTGCCACCACTCTGGTAGGGTTAAATACTATTACCCTCTTTCAGCTCAGATAGGCATTACACATACTCCGGGGTACAACAGCTTTCCCCATATGGATAACTCAATCCATTGTTCCCCGATCCTCATAGGGCAAAGAAGAGCAAGATTCAGTGGAGTGTGCAAGTATTAAAACAAATTTATTGCTGCTTACATACATTCAAAGATACGAACGTCCATCCTGTTCCAGCAAAGCTCAAACAACAACAAAGATGGCCGTGCTGCTCCTTCCGGTTTCGCGTCTGACGTCACGACCCTGACACGTTTCGTCACTTCCAACTTCATCCCTCGAGACGTCCCTTGGACTTGTGGTGGACTATTTTGAATTGATTTAGGTTAATTTGTATTTATGAAAGGGATTTAGTAGTTTGAAGAAAAGGTTTTCTATATACTTGTACTTTCAAGGGTGAAAGGTTTACTTTTCTTTGGGGATATTTAGAGAATCTATTTATGTATAAAGTGCTTGTAAAGGCTGAAGGTTTTTTTACCTTCAAGCATTCTATGCATGAAGATAAACATCTTCTCTGTGCAGCATCCCCCCCCCAATACTCAGCTAATTCAGCAAAGTGCATGTGTGAATGGACACACAGAGCAGCGGGTGCCCCCATAGCAAGCTGCTTGCTGTGGGGGCACCCGACAGGAGGGATGGGCCAGGAGCGCCAGCAGGGGACCAGAGAAGAGGAGAATCTAGACTGCTCTGTGCAAAACCAGTGCACACAGCAGGTAAATATAGACATGTTTGTTATTTTTTTTTTAAAATATATAGGCCTTTAGAATCACTTTAAGGCTAGTACTCACTGTGCCTTGGGTACTGTAATACCAGCCAGTCTCTTTACTTGGTACCTGTGGCCTGGATCCTCTGTAGAGCTTCCTGCACTGCTTCAGGAATCTCTGGATGAGGGTGAACTGCCAATACCAGGGGAGAAAGGAAATCCATCACAGTGACCCCTGGAGATCTGCATGTAAAGGGAGTGATGGTGGATTTCCTTTCTCCCCCGTACTGGCAGTTCACCGTCTCAGACGGGGTTGGTGTCCACATGGCACGTCGCATTTGTGTGGCACCACCCGTCATTTTGTTGGTTGGATGAGTGTCTATGGGCATGCACGATGTGCTTGCGTGATCCCGCTTTGTGCTGCAGTGGCCATCTAGGGTTTGGTGGGACATGTGTTCACGTCCCTCTGAAGGGCATCCACCTGTAGCCAATTTCAGGGGCTATTTATGGGTGGAGGTTACACCCGGCCATGCTGCATTGCTTGGATGATACTACTATTGAATCTGATCACATTGAGCTGCTTTTACTGTTTTTATAACTATAGGCTGGAACTTTATGGAGTGCACTCAGGTTCTTTGAAACTGAGGGGAGCTTTGCCTGATTTTAAAGAGGTATGTTGTTAATAACTTTTGGATATGCATGGAAATAAAAAAGGGTAGTGCCTTCAGTATGATAATGAGACTGTATTTGTCTCTGCTATTGTTTTTGAAGGGAATTCCAGTCCTATCCAAGGTATTATGAAAAAGAAAAAGCACCTCTAAGTGCAGTATAAGGACATTTATTCCAAAAACAATAGAAAATCCCTCACATGGTGAAATTTTAAAAAAGCTCATCCATAATGGAGTGTAAGGAGAAGTCCCCACTGGGTGGACCGCGATCCGCTCTTGGGAAGACTGTGGATGGAGAAAGACGGCCGGCTTGTGTGTGTCTCTCAGAACATTGAAGATGGAACGCACCTTGGAGCACAACGTCGGTGTCAGCGTGATGATGTGGAGAGGACCAGCATGCAATGCGATGCGTTTCGGAACATGCGTGAAGCCAATGGATGGGAAGCACGCTCCCTTCTTAAGCATAGGCTGATGTAATGGGAAGGGTATGTGCATATTGTAACGGGAGTGACTTTTGGGGGTGGGGGGACCTCTGTATCATCTTCCCAGATTCTTATGTTTAAGTGACCCTGTGCCTGTTATGGTACAGGATGTGTATGTGAATGTCTATTGTGTATTGGTGTGTTGTCCTTTGTTCTCAGCCAAGTGGCTGTCTATTGTTCTTTTGCCATGTGCTGTCCCATTGTTCTGTGTCTTGGTTGGATGGGGAGGGGTGATGATGTGTTTCCTGTAGCCCTCCCCACTGATGGAGCAGGCTGATGATGTGTTTCCTGTTCCTGATTGTGTTTCCCCGCCCCTGTGTATATAACTTGTTATGTGTGTAAAATAAAGGGGTTGACTTCCTGTTTTAAGAAGAGTCGGGTGCTGTCTATTTCCTGAGGGATTTCAAGGGTGTGGTCCGTGGATGGTGTTCGGACAGGGAAGCTGCGGTATAACGGAATATACCCAAGTGTGGTCAGGGGTCCGGTTCCGTTACACATATATAGGGAAATTTCTAATGAGCACTACCACTTGCATAATTAAGCTTATGAATGAGGACATTGTGGATGAAAAATAAAACTATTGAAGGAAGAAATAAAATGAAAAAAAAAATAAGAAAAAATATAAGAAAAATAGAAAATAGAAAAACTGGAAAAAATAGAAGAAAAAATAAAAATAAAATACAGGACGTATATATATACGTAATTCTGCATTTCCGGGTAGAGGATTGCGGCCCCGGGTTACCCACCGGCGCCTGGTGATTACAGGCAATCACCGACAGGGAGGAGGGCTGCATTGTTTACCAACTGCCCTCCTCCCTGTCAGTTTGGGCACACTGCTCTGGATGGCTGAGCACAGCCATCTAGAGCAGTGTGTTTACAGTGAAGCACCCCCCCCCCGCCCGCCCCCTAGTAAAACACTCCCATCACACAGTTAACCCTTTGATTGCCCCTCATGTTAACCTATTCCTGCCCAGTGCCATTAGTACAATGTCAGTGCTTTTTTGTTTTATCACTGATCACTGTATTGTTGTCACTAGGGATGTCAGCGACACCAAGTCCCGCTATATGTCACTGATCGCTGCCATAAGTTGCTGATCACTGCCATAAGTTGCTAATTGCTGCCATTATTAGTACAAAAAAAATTCCAGTATCTTTACCACCATTTGTAAACGCTATAAAAATTTCACGTAAACCAATGAATTTATGTGTATTGGGGTTTTGTTTAGCAAAGACATGTTGCAAATACATTTTGGCCTACATGTATGATGAAATTTGATTTTTAATTTTTTTTACTGGACATGTTTAATAGCAAAAAGTCCAAAATATAGTTTTTTTTATTTTATAGCGCAAAAATAAAAAATGCACAGGCAATCAAATACCACCGAAACAAAACTCAGTTTGTGGGGAAAAAAAGATGCAAATTTCATTTAGGTGCAGTGTTGCATGACTGCGCAATTGTCAGTTAAAGTAACGCAGCGCCGTAACGCAAACCATTTCTAACTGCTTCCTGATTGCCCTATAGCAGAAATACTGCTACAGGGCAGCATGGGTGTGCGCAAAATCACGTATATATACGTGATTTGTGCTCCCGTGGTTTTCACACTCCTCCCAGGTAGTGCCAGATTGCTCATCAGTACACCAGTAATCACATCTAACCCTTTGATTGCCAGGAACACGCACATACACAGTAAACCTCCATTGCTAGTATATCTTGATCAGATCAGCACTATACCAGCATTCACATTAGTACAGCGTCCCCAAAACACAGCGTTAGTGGGATCAGCCCCGGCACCTGCCAGCACTTAGCCCCTACGTTTACCCCCCCTTCTCCTCCAGCAAGTGCAGTGTCAGTAGGTCATTGCCACTTGATATATTGCACACAAAACTGCACTGTTTGCAGAATCAGGCCTGATCTCTGCTAGCACTTGCCGGTAAATTTTGATGACTCTCATATGCAGCAGAGTGCCAGTACTAGTGCCGCTCTACCTTTTGGTGAACTGGCGAGCACCATAGTACATCCTGGTCTTTCACATACCAGCACTGCAGTATCACTTGGTGACGTGGCGAGTGCCATAACTGCAGTACAAGCTGGTGCGGTGGCGAGCACAAGTATT